TTTTTAAATATTACAATAAGATTTTAAATATTACAGTATAATTAGCTCACCATGATGAGTACAACTTTAGGAAAAATTCAACACATACCACATACTTGGGAATCGACTTTCTGTAAAGTATGTTCAGGGAAAATGACCGTGTTGCAATTTTTTTATTGAGTGACACATTGTGAAATGAAGCTAAATATGTGTACAAATATTGCACTCCACAGACATATGTTGAAGAGTTGCCGATGTTTATATAACCATTTGCTTGCACTTGCACAACGATGCCAACTGGAACATGCGTATTAGCAACACCAGAAGCTTATACGAAGCACTAATGCTCGCGAGCATGCTGGCCCTGGACACTGCTACATAAATCAATTTCAGTGCATGGAAACTAACCTCACTTGATGTTGACCAGATGTGGCGGCTCTTTCAAAGGAATACATATGTAATGTTTATAAAATTGGGTAGCAGCACTGCAACCACCATTGACGTTTCATCAAAATTAGCATCGATTTGAAAAGTAGTTCCGAGACCTGGCGTAGCTCTCTGGTAAAATGCTTCATTGCCACGCAGAATGCTTGGGTTCAATTCCAGTTGGAACCCTGACATTTATTCTTTGCATTCGTCGAGGCAACACTACCGATGTCGGGTATTTCTTGACGCTCGCGCATTGAAATTGCTCATGTGTGTTCTCATCGATGACTAAGTTTCAATCACCTGTGGCACATACCTGCCTGTGGGTATGTGCCACTGTCTGGCGGGAAGGGTTTGACGACGTACGCAACGGGATTGTGACATTATTCATGTCTTGACCAGCGCGTCATATTCCTCAAACCATCTTACCCTCCTATACCTATTTTAGTTCACGCCATTTTAAATTACTGGGGGTGACCGCGAGATCACCCAAACGTAAGCGGCTAGATGGATGGATGGACGGACGGGCTGGCTGGCTGGCTGGCTGGCTGGCTGGCTGGCTGGCTGGCTGGCTGGCTGGCTGGCTGACTGACTGACTGACTGTGACCGACCGACCGACCGACCGACACACACACACACACACACACACACACACATACTGTCTGGGCCAGAGTGTATCGTAACTTCACAAATACCATAATTACTCGAATCTAACGCGCACCTTTTTTCCGGTTAAGTGAGTTCATAAATCGCATGCGTGGTAAAATCGACTGTGAAAAAAAATAAATACGGTCATTCTATTGCCTTCGGCATTCCCAAAATGGCCGCCCTCTAAGTGCTTCGGCATGGCGCGTCGGCCATTTCTGCCTATGTGTTTCCCATGTGCGGCACTTCGTACGTGTGCCGAGGAGTTCGTCATCTTGTAGTTCATTAGCATCGACAGCATGGAAGGACCGACTCCAAAGTGCAGGCTTTGCACTTAGCTTTAAGAAAAGGGCTAACGCGGAGCCAGTTCAAAGCGAACAGGTGCTGGCTAACTAACTTTATGAAGAGGAAAGGCTTTTCCCTCCGAAAGTTAACGGGCATGGGCCAAAACTTGCGGGAGGAGTACGAAGAAAAGCTTCACAGTTTTCAGAGGTTCGTCCTAAACTTGCGGCACAACAACGGCTACCTGCCTGGGCAAATCGGGAATGCTGATCAGACGCCTCTTTACTTCGACATGCCTGGCACCACAACCGTCGAGAAGAAGGGGGCGAAGCAAGTTAGCATGCTGACATCGGGCCACGGTAAAACAAGAGTGACCTCAATGCTCCGTTGCACGTCAGATAGGCACAAGCTTCCCTGGTACCTCATAATTAAACGGAAGAGGCTCCCGAAAAGAGTCGTTTTGCCGAGTAGTGTGATCGTGCGGGCCAACGAGAAAAATGGGTGCGCGTTACAATCGAGGGCGCGCTAGAATCGAGTAAATAAAGTACTATTAGGTAATGCACTTCAGAAGAGCTGGATTCAAGATTAGGAAGAGCAGGTAGTTTGTTGCATGCAGTAAATGGAGTGATGCCGTTATTGGTAGAAAAAGAAATAGATTTTATGTAAATAATAAAGGCATTTGCTATGGCTTCCGGATTTGAGGAGGATTTGCCATCAATGATTGATTGATTGATATGTGGGGTTTAACGTCCCAAAACCACTGTATGATTATGAGAGACGCCGTAGTGGAGGGCTCCGGAAATTTAGACCACCTGGGGTTCTTTAACGTGCACCCAAATCTGAGCACACGGGCCTACAGGATTTGCCATCAAGAAAAAAAAAAAACAATAAGGGCATAGACAATGCAGGGCTAATCTATCTCGAGAACCTGCGTGGATTTTTTTTTTCGTAAGTGTAGCAAAGGCATTGCTAAAGTAGTAGTTCTTAGCCATTTGATTTCAGGTTTATTTACTTCTCAATGAATTACCCCAAGAAGTATTATCATTAAACCTGAAATAACGATTGTTCCATAAGCGCTTTATGCCATGAGTGAGATGGATTATATCTTTCTGGTAGCGTGGGTGTACTGGGTTCTGTTTAAAATGTTTGTGTGGCCCATACATTGATGGGCATTATTACAAAACTTAAGGAGCGCATCTGCCCTGCGAAATTCGCTAGAGCATTCAAATTCCTCAACAGATGAGGCTAAGGTGTCCAGTACGGAAGTGTAGTCAACTTTGAGGAGAACAAGCTAATTTTGATGTGACATAAATATGGCCAGAAAAACTTTTAGACGACCTCACATTTTATACCGTGCGATAGAAGGTCGCAGTACCATATAATGAACTTAGGCTGCAGCTAACTCTCTTTTATCTGGTCTCGGGGAACTGTAAAACGCTAGTGTAAATGACTTCTTGTGGGAAAACTAGCAGGTTTCGTACGGTGATATCATAGCATGTAGGAAACTAAACAAGCCTTTCACTAAAATAGCGAACGTGCTAGCGCGTGCTATTACTCGCGACCACGCCCTTATATTCAAAGTTCACAAATGCGGATCGAGCCTAATAGCATCTTACCCGAGTATCCCTTCATACTCCTTCGTCCAGCAAAAAACAAACAGGGCTTCCTTTTGGGTTGAGTAGCAATAGACCGTAGGCATCGCATGTGGAGTCATGTTATCGCATGCGCCCTCTGTGCGATGGAGATGGGCAGCTTGTTTCGCCTATGCATCAGGCTTCAGCAGTGTTCCTCGCTATAGCACTCGTGAGATTTTTTTTGTGGGAACAGCATATAGCGTGCGTACAAAAGTAATTTATTTGGACTTTACGGAACATGACGGGGATAAAGAAAGCCTGTTGATAGTGTCCATATAGTTCTTCTCGCAATAAAAAAGTACACAAAAACCATAGAAGTGAACTGGCCCTTGTTATGGAGAGCTGCGTTGTCTTTGCTGTATACAATTTATCCCTTGAAAAAATGAAATAATTCGAAGCCTTTTTTTTTTTGTTTCTTCCTCGATTACACTACACTACACTCTCTTTACTACAATTCTTACATGTTATTCAGCATTTATGTCTTCATAAAGCATGTGTGCAATGTGAGCGCTAAGTGTTTAACCTAACAGGATTTCGAACTTCTCGGCTACACTCTTATTTCCACTCGCACAATCAAAACTCGTAAAATGCAGTGAAATCACAAGTTAATCGCGCAGGATAATCCTGTGAGAAGCGAGGAAGAACGGGGGGTGGTGAGGGGTGAATGCATGGCAAAGCGGGGTAGAAAAAATTTACAGCTTATATATTTATTGTATATAGACCAGAGTATCCAGAGTCCTAGAGTATGTGCCTTAATTATGTCATGTGAATCACTGTTCTGGTGTCACGAAGGGTGCTAAAAGAATGAGAAATGTTAAGAGAATAACGTGCTTGACTGTGCATCTTCAGAAGCTGTTTTGGGGCCTACACAGACAGCGCATACAAACACTGAAACAAGAGAGTAGTCATGACACCGCAAATGCCGCTCTCAGAAATCTTAAATCTGCAGAAAAGCAGGCGATGTGATGTATTTACCTCCCAGATTCCATGCTCGGGTAAAAATAAGAGAAATGGCGGCGCGCCGTAAGTTATTGTACAGCGGTGGCATGGTTCCTCTCAGCACTTCGGCCGCAGCGTGAACGGCGCGAGCAAGAACGGGCGACGCAGCGGTGCACAGCTCTATTACAGGTTGATGTTGAAGGGCAGCCAACTGAAAGGAAAACCAGTTTACAAGGTGGCTATCCAAAGTAGTACTTACGAGCAAACAGCAGCTACGATGCTGCACAGTGACACAATATGAAACCAATAAAAGTTTTCACACCTGACCTCAACCACACCTAAGCTAAATCATTTTGGTGAAACGAAGCACCAAAAATATTGCGAGAAAGTTGTGAAACTAAAGAACATGGTGACGGAGCAAATACACGAGAGAAACTGACAAAACAGCTGCAGCAGTAATCTATAGTGAACGCATTCGAGATATTTTGTGAGACTCGATACTGCACGTGTGCATGGGGTTTGGCACAATGGCAATAACGCAGTCCCTAGAGACAAATAAACCCAGTGCAGACAAAACCCTCATAGCTCCTAAACACCTGTGAACAACTTAACCTAATGATGCAACTTTGGTGTCTGGCAGGTCAAAACCACGACAGGATTATGAGGCAATAGTTTTGCTCTATGCTGGAACGTGTTCATTTACTTTCACTCCTGTCGACTGTCGAGGCAGAGATTGAAACCCAACCTTGGCAGCACAACACAAATCTCATTTCAATTTTTTTATGACCGAACGTGGGCACCGCTGGCAGAAGCAAAGTAAACTTTTTTGTACTGTTTTGCAAAAAACATTGGTGCTGTTTTCGTCATTCGTTTGTGGATTGAGACAAGCAAAAATCAAACACAAACAACGAGACAACTTACTAAGCGAGCGCATGTTATGTAGGTGTGCAACGATGGGTGTTGAAGGGTCCTTGCAGTGAGGTCAGCCAGGCCTCCCACCAGGTGGCCCACTTCGTTTCAAGGCTAATCGTTGTTCATTGTACCTTGAAGGTTAATTGACATTGTTGTAACTGGCTCTCTTTTATCTTGTTCTAGGCAAGAGGAGGTTCAACATCAAGTTGTGGAAAACCTTCACAGACTGCTTCAACTGCTTACCAGTGGCTGCCATTGTTGACGAGAAGATTTTCTGCATGCACGGAGGTATGTGCGAGACTATTCTGTTACACGTTACTATGGGTCTGTAATGACAGGGGAAGCTCACTCCAATTCATTCAAGAAATATATATCACTCTTAAGAATCACTCTGTCTCAGACTGAACCCCCAATTTCTTCATACGGGCTGACTCAGGCTCAAGGTCACCAAATTACAGTGGAACTTCTATTATACGTCCCCTGATTTCGCAACGACCTTCATGTTACGTCCGGTCAATTTGGTTCTGGCAAGACCTCCATACAAGTAATGTTTTAAAAGCCTTGGCTATATGATGCAGCTTTACGCTGACCCCGCATCTGACGATCACTTTCATATTCTGTCTTGAAAAAAAAAAAAAGCACATTTACCTAGATAAAACATCGTACAAATATTCACGGGTGCAGAATATGAACTTGCGCTTCTCTAGGTTGACAGTTAAGAAAGTATAGAGGCAAGATGGCTTTTTACGATGGTGAATTTATTCTCCTGGAAATTCATGCGCTTCTACATAAGTTTTGATCGTGTGCGTGCATATCTGGGTCACTACCTAGTCAAGCTCTATCCACACAGTGTAGCTTCAGCTGGCTAAAAAGGTGATATTTTTACATTTTTAATCTGTGGAAACTTTTCCTGGTCGACATGCAGCTGATCTTCGACCTTTGTCACTCTAGCAGTCACAGGCTTTTACACACATACGGGTGCAAAGCAGCTGTTTTATGGTGCAAAATTACTTTCATGTAACGCCAATGTTCAAAATAACAGCGGGACATCACTAGTTGTACTTGACAGGCCGACAAATTACAGCACGCACAGCTCAGTTGCGCATGAAGGCATTCTATGCAAGTTAATTGTATGTCGCCATTATGTGATAGCGATGACGCTGTGTCCGACTGTTGTGTCTTGTGACGAGAGGCTGTTGGCAATGCGGTTTCGGTATCGTTTTCACGAGCAGGCAATTTTTGGACTCCCATATATTGGTAGAAAGATGCGTGTTGAATTACACTTTTTTTTTTTTTTTCAAGTTGAGAATAGTGATCGATCGGACCCCCTCCAACTAAGTAATGCTGCCATTGGCAGCATTACTTAATGTACACTAAATTATTTTTGCTAAGTAATGCTGCAATTAGCAGCATTACTTAGTTAGCAAAAATAATTTAGTCTACATTCCTTGCACGTCGTGCAGTTGGCTTATTCAGGTGGTACCCAGTCTGTACTCGTGTTTCGGGTAAGTCCGAGTGTCACTGTCTACAGTGCAGACAACTTATAACCACTTAAGGACTTATTACATTGCGGTCTAAATTGACTCCCATTACCCTCCCATAGAACCCCATGTATACACATATAGAGTATTGCAGTGCCCCCGAGATGAAACACCAGTTATAAGGCAGTTGTGGGAAAAAATCGTGACAAATGCGGTAGCAAACGTGTGCCTGAAAGAAGGTGCGCTGTGTGTGCTGCTGGGGAGCGAGCAACGAGGTAGTTATGGAGGAGGAGGGCCCCGCAGGGGCGCCTGCGCAAGTAGGCGTTTGGTGTGTAGCGACACCACGGACCCGAGCTAACGGGGGAGTTTTCTACTCCCTCCCACGCCTAGCCGTGCGTGGCTTTGCCGTGTCCGGGGAAAAGGGGATCCTGGGGGTTGAGCCGACGCTGGGTGATTGGACCTTTAAGGCCCCCCGGCAGAGGCAACACACCCCTTTGGCCCCAGCTTCACGTAGACGGCACCTCTGGGCTGACCCACCCAGGGGAAATCGGCAGTCGCCTTTTCCTATCTCTCTCTCCCTATATCTTCGTCTTTTGTTCTCACTTTACATCTTTCCTGTCTTCTCCTCACTTCATTTTACTTCCAATTTTTCCTGGCGGCAAAGGTTAACCTAGTGTAAATATCCAACCTTGGATAGATATATTAGGTTATAGCGGCCATGTACGGCTGGCGCTTGCGCCTCCTTCGCGTCTCGCAGCGTCCCCTTGTTGGGCTCGGTGGTGGGTGGTTGGCATGGCCGCCGAAAAAGCTATCAAATTTATGGGAACCCCTAGCCCTGTCACAACTAATCGCCCCTCCAAGAGGTGGCGCACCGCTGCAATTCTTGAATTTCTCCCTAACAAAAAAGATAACTTCCCAAAATACCACATTATCCACTGTGAAGGCACAGAAAAGAAAGCTAGAAACATTTCACCTTTCCTTGTATCGAAATGCCTTATAGAAACGCTGGGCGCAGGCTACAAGGCCACAAAGATCGCCAGTGGTGACCTGTTACTTGAAGTAAAAGACAACGCACAGTACCAAAGACTACATAAACTCACAGCATTTGTGGATCAGCCTATCACAATCACACCGCATCGAACCTTGAACACAGTGAAGGGTGTTGTATCAGATGGAGACCTGATGGACCTCTCTGATGATGAACTTCTAACAGGCTGGAAAGAGGAAAACGTCATTCAGGTGCAGCGTATCAAAATAAGAAGAGAAAATAAGGAAATCCCAACGAAGCACATCATACTAACGTTCGCATCTAGCACCCTCCCAACTGAAATAGCAACAGGACATCTTAAACTGCCAGTTAGACCATACATACCCAACCCGAGGCGCTGCTTTAAGTTTCAGAGGTTCGGGCACGGCTCCCAGAGCTGCCGAAGACAGATTACTTGCGCGAAATGCGGCACCAAAGGTCATACCGCTGACGATGACTGTCAGCTACAAGTGCACTGCGCAAACTGTGAGGGTGACCATCCTGCATATTCCAGGTCATGCGTGGCCTGGAAAATGGAAAAAGAAATTATCAGTACAAAGTTTAAATTGAACATAAGCTTCCGTGAAGCGCGGCAGCGTGTTTCCCCGCATTTTGCTGGGAACACATCGTATGCCGAAGTGGTGCGAGGGGGGTCAGCACCACTTCGGTTTTCGGCAATGCCTTGGACCACGCCCGGCGTGCCGAGGCAAACGCCACAAGCCCCCATGGGGGGAGCAGCCTCGGCTGCCCCACCCTCCTTGAATACAGCCCCAACGAAGGCTTCTGTGAACCTTGGCAGCAGCCAGGGCACCACACAAACTAAAGAGGTCCCCTCGACCTCCAGCCCAGTGGGGTTTAAGGCTCCGTCTGTCACGACGAAGCCTACAACGAAAACATTATCTGTCGCCTCTCCTGAGGCGACGGACACTTCAACTGCACCGGCGCAGACTGCGCCAAAGGAGCGGCGGGGTTCCCTCGACTGCTCTAAAAAAGACAAAACGGTAATTACAGGGCCTTCTAAAGGCTCTGTAAGATAAGTCACTTCTCTCTTTAGACACCAGCCACGCTCATTTCGTACACACAGCACTTCTTTACTCCCATAATGGAGACACAAATTATACAATGGAACGTCAGAGGACTACTTCGAAACCTCCACGATGTCCAAGAACTTCTACACAAACATTCTCCAAAAGTGCTGTGTGTACAGGAAACACACTTAAAATCCAAGAATACAAGTTTCTTGCGTCAATATGTTGTCTTACGAAAGGACAGAGATGATGCTGTGGCGTCATCTGGTGGTGTAGCCATTATAGTTAATCGAGGAGTAGCATGCAGTCATCTACCACTACTAACACCCCTAGAGGCAGTGGCTGTTCGAGCAGTTCTATTGAATAAGCTCGTCACCATCTGCTCTCTATACATACTGCCGCAACACCGCCTGGAAAAACATGATTTTCAGTCTTTAATAGATGAGTTACCAGAACCTTATTTGGTTCTAGGGGACCTGAATGCGCACAGCGGTTTATGGGGTGACTGTCGATGTGATGCACGAGGTCGTCTCATTGAACAGTTCCTCTTTTCATCAGGTGATTGTCTGTTGAATAGAAAAGAGGCAACATATTATAACCTTGCAAACAATACTTACTCCTCCATAGATCTCAGTATCGCATCTCCTTCACTTGTACCATTACTTCAGTGGAAAGTCATAAATAATCCATACGGAAGTGACCATTTTCCTTTAGTTTTGAGTACACCAATAACATATGAATATCCTCCACATGTTCCCAAATGGCTGATGAACAAAGCCGACTGGGAACAATTTCAAAAGATTACACACCTAAGTTGGACCGACATATGCGGATTAGGCATAGATGAAGCTGTGCAGTACTTCACGGCTTTTCTTACTGACGCAGCAGCCAAGTGCATTCCACAAACATCTGGACTGCCCGGCAAACGACACGTCCCGTGGTGGAACACTGAGTGTCAGAATGCGCGAAAGGAACAAAACAGGGCATGGAGGTTGCTGCGCAACTCGCCGACAGCAAAAAACCTTGAGAGCTTTAAGAAAATAAAATCTCGTGGCAGGAGAACGCGTCGGCAGGCCAGAAGAGAAAGCTGGCAGAAGTTTTTATCAGGGGTCAATTCATACACACAGGAGGCTAAAGTCTGGAACATGGTCGGTAGGATAGCAGGGAAACAAGTACACACACTTCCACTCGTAAACACTCAAGGTGATACCTTGGAAGATCAGGCAAACTTCCTCAGGGCACACTTTGAACGGGTATCCAGCTCGTCCCACTATACTGACACTTTCCAAAAATACAGAACAAGAATAGAAAAGCAGAAACTCGAACACAAATCCACTAGATACGAGGCATATAACCAAGCTTTCAGTCTAGCGGAGCTCCGAACATCTCTAAACTCCTGCAGCACTTCTGCCCCAGGTTCTGACCGTGTGGTGTATGAAATGCTAAAAAACCTACCAGCCGAAACACGAAAAACCCTACTTTGTTTGTACAATGCTATCTGGTTTTCTGGCACTATCCCTACCTCCTGGAAAGAGGCTATTATTATTCCCATATTGAAGGAGGGCAAGGACCCTTCTTTAGCTTCAAGTTATAGGCCTATTGCACTTACAAGCTGCTTGTGCAAAGTATTCGAAAAAATGATAAACTGCCGACTTGCACATATCCTTGAAACAAACAATTTGCTCGACCCATTTCAGTGCGGGTTTCGAGAAAGTAGATCCACCACAGACCACCTTGTTCGTATCGAGGCAC